GGCGGAAGACGCGGAGAGCGATATTGCTATTCGCTTTGTCGACGAAAACGACTACAGGGAGATTTCTCCTAAAGTTGTGTCAGAATCGCCCTTCCTGGCTTGTTTCTACGCATTGTTACGACGTTGATTCGAGCGAAGTTGAGTGTTCTAGCGAAGAAGATGATATAGTCAGTGCAAGCAAGGAGGAAGCTGTAACCGAAACGGAGAGTGCCAATGAAATACAAGAAAACGTAGAAAGCTCCTATTCCGATGATAGTTCAGCAGATGAAGCTAGCGAAGAGAAGGAAAAGTGCAGGGAAGCCTAAACCTGCGCCTTCGAGTTCGACCGTCACCAAATCAAGCAAAAAGGCGCCGAAGAAATCAAATAAACGGAACAAGAGTCTTTCGGAAGAAGAGATAAAGGATTTATGTGGACAGTTGGAAGTAGTCATGCGAAACCTCCAGGAAACATCCACGCAGCGCCCGAGGTAACTTTATCCCGATTCTAAAAATAACTCCAGACGAATTACCTATGGAATAGGGAGTGTATGGGGGATGCCTTCTCTGTCGCCTTTATCCTCTCTTGGTTTCAAGTTCAGAACGTGCATCTATAGTTAGCAATTGGTGTGTTCGAATTACTGAATGCTGTAGAAAGGATATCAAAGGGCACCAAAGAAGTGGTGGATCCAGGGGGATGGTCCAGGGGGTCCGGACCCCCCCCCCCTGGATTTTTTAATGAACGCGTGTTGTATTTTGCCACCAAACTAAATTCCAGGGATATTCAAAAATGTGATTGTCTTTGGGTACCCTCAGTAATCTGTGTATTTCCCGCGCCAACGGCTGGCTTTCACAGATTGAGAAACACGTAGCCGTCTCTGCCTTCTCAGTGTCTAGTGGGAGGGGGTGTGGGGAAAAGTAATTTGCCACAAAAAAGTTCAACAGTCCTTTCTGAACCACAATTTGGAGCTCCCCCCACCCCAACGAAAAATTCCTGGATCTCCCTCTGCAAAGATGTTACTCTGAGTTCGGAGCCAATCAAGGCTTATGCTAGCAGGGGCAAGTAAATCAAATTTTTTTTTCAAGTTATATTAGAGGCTCACTTGTGGGACGAAAAACAGTATAATTTTATTTATGTAATATGAAAATAGTGCCTGATCATGTGTATCCTAGAGGAACAAGAGACATATTTGTTGCGAGCCGATTCTAATCATTCGGTTTCCTGTGGTTCGGTGGTTCCTTGTGTTGAAACATCCCGACTAAAAGCCAACAACAGGGAATGAGCTCTTCGCAAGCCAATGAACTAGTGGCCACATCCGGTTCTCAAAAAAAGATTTGGATAAGGTGAGAGGACCTTTAATTCCACCGTCGGGAAGTTTCCTAATATTTTTTTTCGGCCATCGCTGCGAATTGCTTTTTATTGTAAACTTGAATTACAAAAGTCTTGCTATACATCAACTCTACAAGCATAAAACATAATTCTAACTCAAACACATGTAGAACAAAATCATAGCGGGAAGATCAGAGTTAAGTACGCCAGTTTGGAAATGCTGACTTTTTACATCAGAAAATGTCCTCAAAAATGCCTGCTTCACTGCATTATACTCATCTTCAAGATATTTGATCATCGCCTAAACGTAGAGACTAAACGTAGAGTTTGTTTTACGGCGCGCTGCCTTATGTGTGTGATTTTACCAGATAGCTTTGGAGATAGAAAATGAGACTGCATCAGCTTACATCCACATTAAAAATTTGACATCTTGGGACTATTAATAAGCCTGATGGCTGTAACGTTCACGCTAAAGCACCCTCACATCTTAAAGTATATCGCAGGAGGACGGGGAAAATCCACTGGTAAAACAATTTTGACGGTAGCAATTGTTCATGCATTATTTAAGACAAGCTTGCGGAGTGTAAATTATTAGGGTATTTCACTTAACCCATAGAAGGAAGGAGGGCTGCTTAATATTAAGCAATACAATAAAAAAATTACCTCTTGTCAAAACTTGTTAAAGTGAAGATCACGCCCACGGGTAAACGAAAAATAACATACATGACCTTACTGCTTTGCAAAGTTTCAAAGACTGCATTCCTCAAGGTTTATGGTACCTCCAATCACAAGACAGAATGTTAAAAAATAAACTTCGAATGGCCATATTTGGCACCAGATCAAAAAGGACAATTCAACCTTCGAGGATTTTTGACTGCAACAAAAAACACCAACATCGACTTCATACTCTTATAAATAGAGGATCACTAAGTGGCAGCAAAAAAATGTTTTAACACAAGTATGCGTATCCATAAAATGAGTATAGATTTTATTCGTAAACACAGTGATGTCAAGACAACTAGGTTAAAAGAAAAACAAAGGACCTGTTCTCAGTTTTTCAACTTTTTAAGGTGTTCTTAGCTTTACAAAATCACGGCTTGATACACTTCAAGTTTGTGACAAAACCACTAATTGACTTAAGTCCCTAAGATCTTTGGAAAAATGCACTGACAATCAATACCAACAGATCTGTCA